TGTGCTAGGTGGTTGGAAGTGGGTGCATTTTACCCATTTTCTAGGTATAATAATTAACTATAAAAACTTTAAAACTAATATAGCATGAGTAATTTGTAAAAATATTATCAAGGAATCACAATACAAAAATAATGGACCAGGATCCAGTAGCACTTGGCACCATGGTCACACGTGCGGCTAAAAACGCACTGTCAACCCGATACACACTTTTACCTTACTTATATACACTGTTTTACCATGCTAAAACCAACGGTGACACAGTGTCGAGGCCTTTATTTTTTGAATACCCGGCCGATAAGCATACTTACGAGCGTACGGTAGCCGAGACCCAGTTTATGTGGGGCTCGGCCTTTATGGTGGCGCCGGTAACTCAGCCCAACATCACCAAAATCAAGGCATACCTACCGGAAGGGGTTTGGTATCCGTTCAGTCATAACAAAGTCGGTAAACCGATCGCCAGTACCGGTGAGTACATGGAGTTTGAGGCGCCGGTAGACGAAGTGAATACGTTTTTAAGGGGCGGGAATGTAGTGCCGAGACTACCCGTCCGACAGACCACTACCGCTATGAGGACAGAGAAGTTCACTCTTATGGTTGTGCCCGATGTCAAGGGGGAGGCCAGGGGTCAGTTGTATTGGGACGACGGGGACTCTATCGGTACGATTGAGAGTGGCAATTATACCTTGGTCACTTTCGATGTGAAGAATGTAAGTATACAGTATCATAATGTCAAGTACAACTTTCAAAATAAATTTTAAACTCACCTAATCTAATTAGTGATTATTAGAAAGTTCCCAGTTGAAACTGTACGCTAAATTATTTGTATAACCCTAATATTATTTATTAATTTTTAAAAACTAAATTTATTAGATATTAAATGTGCATTTATGCTTATTTATCCTTGTTCATAAAATATTTTGCTTTAAAAGTCATAAACATTTATTGAGGATTTCTTATGTTAGCGTAATATACTTTATAAAACTTAAATATAATTATGTATTATAAGCTTAATTATTTTTTAATAATTTTAATATGGATTTATTTATAGGCAACCCTGGTCACTAATCCACAACATAATGAATATGCTGGTGGTGTGACCACAGATACCATACACGTATTGGGTGTCAACAAAAAGCCCACAACCGTTTCAATTGATGGACAAATGGCTACAAATGTTACGTATAGTCAGGACCCGCAGTGGCTATCAGTGTATGGTTTAACCATTGATCTAGGCAAATCTAAACATACGGTTGAATGGAAATAAATTTATTGAATTTAAGATAAATAGAAAACATTTTAAAAATTAATATGTTCATTAGTTTAAATAAATTCTGTGAAATTAAAATATTCAACTGATGTTTAATTTAATTTGTAATAAAAATTAGTATATTTAAAAAATAATGTATTACAATTAGTATATCTGGTATTTTATATAAATCAAATGAATTTAATAATTGCACTCTATTATGAGAATTATATAAAATTAAAAAATAGATGTAGGTGACATCAAACAAAACCAAACTTTGAATTTATAATCAATATTATAGACTCAGTCCCGATAATAGAATTTATATTATTAGTCTAAACTTTAGACTCTAAAGTATATTTAAATTTTATTAACTTATAAATAAACTAGCATATTTATTTATTAAAATTTTCAAAATTTATTTAAATATGATATTAATACAATAATAATGTTTTAAGTAATAGTTTTGCATAAATATTTTAAAAATCACTTTAACTACTTCTATTAATAAATAACTATTCATTTAAATAACAACAAGGTAAACAAAATTAATACTAATGATATCTTATTGGACAGTACTATCGCACCACTTTGACACGTCCGGCCTTTGGTGGGGTCCTCCTTATAGCCCTCCATACAAACACACTGTTGGGCACCGGTATCACAAAAACGCTTAGTATCCCAATCCTTGCGACAATTATCATTCCCGACCCAACACTTAGCCCCTGTACACGCCTGTCCTTTCAGAGGCCAGGCATAGTTGGGAGCGCACCGGCACTTGCCCTCTACACACACCTCATTCTGGTCGTCACATACCTGTCCATTAGTACAGTCAGGCGCCCATACATTAGCATTCATACACTTGTATCCATTACTCTTATCCTCCCGGAACCCATCCCTGCAAACACAGTTGCCGTCCGACTCCCGGCACACCCGGTCGTCATCGATCAGATCAGTACAGCTTTTTCCTGTTCCTATCGAGACATCCAATTCGCACCGGTATTTCTCGCACCGGAGGGTCACCTCATTCCACCGATAATTGGGTCGACACCGACACTTCTTATCCCTACACTTCTCCTCCGGGTCAGTACAGTCGCTGTTAGTATTACATGCCGGCGCCCACTCGGACGTACATTTTCGACCATTTTTGACGTCTTCCCGATACCAATAAAAATTACAGATACAGGTGCCCGATATGGGCTCACACTTGCGGTATTTGTCCCAATCGTTTGCATTACAATCGGTATTTACCGTACAGTTGAATGATTGGCATATTTTCTGATCGTCCAACCAATTCATGGTGGGCTCGCACCGGCATTTCTGGTCTACACAGCGTAGGTGTTCCCTTGAAGTGCAATCGGTGTCGGAAATACAGGTGGAGTCAAAGTCACCGATAGATAAATTTTGAGTAATATTTATGCACTCGACTGTATACACAATTGTAGTGATACTTAACGTAAAAATTATTATGTTCTTCATTGTTAATTAATTAAATAATTATAATTTATTAAAATTTAAAATACAAACATATCTACTGGTGCTTATATACCCAACCTTTCATTCGTAAAACAGGCTATATTTATAATGAATAATAAAATATATATTTCAAATAAATTGTTTAATATTTTATGATTCATTACAATCGGTAACTTTAACTACAATATAAGTACATTTACCTGGATTTATATTACTATTGTTGTAGTCAATTATTTATGAGTTCTGTATATTTTTTAAATAATGTCAATTGTGAGTTACACTTATAAAAATCTTAATATATGACTAGTGCACTTAACAGAAAATACCTGCTCAAGGTAGGAAGGTAAAAAATATTTTATATTAATATTGTATTAATACATAAATGATTATATTTTTTAAAATTTTAATTAATTTTTTTTCATTATTTGATACATTTTTAAAACATGGCACTTACGGTAATTATGATTCTATAAAATTAATAAGAAAAATTAATTTTGAAATAAAATTATTGGCACTAAAATTAATAATTAGCTTATATGTGTTGTGGAAAGTTGAAGTGAGCTCTGTACTTTTAATGAATTACCTTTATTGGAAAACCCAAAACACTATACATTAAAAAAATAGAGCATTTAATGCAAATTATTTTTAAACAATAAATATAAACAATAATAAACATTATAAAATTATTGATTAAATTATATTAAGTTTTTATAATAAATCGAGTATTTTATAAAAAAAAGTGTAATTTTATCATTAAAATTTTTGTATATTTAATATACCTATACTATTCATAAAATAACTCATTAAAGTTACAGAGCTCACTTCAACTTTCCATGGCACATATCTAATCCGTGCACTGATGCCCAATAAAGTACAATGCACAATGTAGTACAATGCAATAAAGTATAAAGTACCTTAAAGTACCTAGAGTACCTAAAGTACCTTATAAAGTACCCAATAAAGTACAATGCAAATAAAACAATGCACTAAATGCACTGATTCCCAATAAAGTACTAAATGTGTGTACTAAATGTACCGTATGTGAATTAAATACAAGTTTCATTCCTGAATTTATAAGTAACTCGGTATTATTTGTAAGACTTATTTATTTAACAATTTTTAATATATATGTTATATAACTTGCAATAAAAATAATGATTTAATTCGTAGAATTTAATTCAATAAATAAAATTAATATGTTTAAAAACTGTAATAAACTTTTTTTTAAAAATGGAAGTCTACTTCTGGAAATTGTAATTAACATAATGGATTTAAATTGATCGGTGTATATTTTTATATAATTGTATAATCATACAGTTATTATTAATAATATAAAATTTAATTATAAGAGAAGTAATTTTAAAATTAAACAAAATTAATTATAATATAAGTCTTGACATTTTGTTCAATTATAGTTTATTAAATATGATGATTATTGCTTTATTTTATAATTTAATAATAATTAGGTTATTTAAAAATTGTAATAAACCTTTTAAAACATGAAAAATTAATTCAAGAAATTGTAATTAAGTTAACTAATTTTCATTGAAAATAACCTTGCTACTCTATTTATCAAAATGAAATTTTGTTGTTATAAAATAGCTGGTTGCAAATATTAATATAACTGGTTGCAACTGTAAATTAATGCAGTTGTTAATATATCTGAGTAGGAAACATCGAGTCACGAATCTCGATTGA